CCACTGGCAGGACATCTAGAGATGAGGCTGCCCCCAAATTAATTTTCTCTCACAGCCACAGTCAGACAGAGCTGACATCTGCTGGTCTGGACTCCAGCTGAGACGGAAGGCAAACTCAGCTGCATGGCCAAAACTGGGAGCTGCCCCACCCTGCCTGAGGCCAGCAGAAGAAGCTGGCAGAGGCCCAGAGGAGCCCATGCCCCTGGGAGCCTGTCCCTGCCCCAGGCCTGCTGCCTGGCTCCAGAATCTTCCCTCAATCAGAAGTTCCGAGGGCTTCGCTGAAGATGCATTTGGCCAAATAGCCGAGGGGCAGGCTCCCAAAGCCTGAGGGGCCTGAAGTGGGTGCTCCCCTCCAAGGAGCTCCTGAGGAAGCCAGGGTGAAACTCGAAGGGCCAAAAGCAAAGGCTACAATCCCAGCGGGGTTTCTGGGAGAAGCCCACATAGCCCCTGAACTTGACCTCCATGGCTCCTCATGTGTAGAGAGCTGTGGAGCTCCAAGTGGCACGCTCCCCGAGCCCTGAGGCTGGGAGACCCAGAAATGCTCTGCACCGAGCAGGCAGTGGTAAGGCCCACAGCTACTCACCCCCACCAAACTCTGCCTGGCCAGGTGGCCCCTTGGCCCCTCTGCCGCCTCCTTGCCACTCTCCTAGGGGAGGACGAAGACTCAGCTGCCTCAGGGCAAGCTGCCTCCACACTCCTAGAGCCCAAGCAATTCATTTGGCTGCTTTGACTGGGGACAGGTTCCCCACACGGCCACTTTCCTTAGCTCCCTGGCAGGCCATGCACATTAGGGCCCAGGTCAAGCCCTGCTCCAGGGCCTGCAAACTTTCATGGGGTCCAGCTCTGAACCTCGTGGAGGCCACCAACCCATGGTCACAGGAAAGCTTCAGCCCCAGGTCAGCGCCTTTTCTCACCAATCAGATGGCTTCAGAGGCAGGGGATCTCCTGGCCACAGTCAGCATCCGTGGGTCCTTCCACACAGCCTCCAATCAGAGACAAGCCCTTGGGGGCTCATCAGCACCTGAAGCCAGCAGAGACTTCCTGCTGCTTCTATCCCCAGGCCAGGGGAGTTCTTGAGCCCCCGTGACTCAGCTGGCAGCCTCCAGTCAGAGAGCCACCCCACCCTGCCCGAGGCCAGCAGGAGAAGCTGGCAGAGGCCCAGAGGAGCTCATGCCCGGGGCATCACCTGCCCACTGGAGAAGCTGTCCTGCCTATGGGCCCCGTACACCGGAGGCTGTCAGCGGGCAGGGAGAGGATGCCAGGCTGCCTGGCTGTGGAAACCGCTCACCTGCCCAGATCCAGGAACCAGCCTCTCCCAAGCTCCCCAAGGAGCCCTCCCTTGCATGGAGCATGCTCAGGGCTTTGTGTCTGGGGACTCAGAGCTGCCAGCTCACGGCCCCCATGCACCTGCCTTCAGGCCATGACACAGTCCCGGCCAGCCCACCTGACTAGAGGGCAAGCCAGGGAGCAATCTGGAAGAGAGAAGAGGGACCTGGGCTGGAGCTGGCCTGAGGGAGGAAATCCATTCCCTCCCCTCCGTGGTCCCCTGGACTTAGCCTCAGAGAGAGGCTGGGGCTGGGGAAGAAGGGGGCAAGGGCCTTGGGGCAGTGAGCCTTTGGCTCCTTTGTAAGACGCCAGGATTTCAGGCTGCTCCCGGGTACACCAGAGCCCTCCAGGGGCCTCAGGGCCCCTCCCCACATCCTGCCTTCCACTTCCCACCTTCCCCCAGCTGCTGGGAAGCACACCTGGGCTGGAACAACTGGAATATTGAGTTTCAGCTTTTGCGCAGGGCTGGAGGAGAACTGGAGGGCCAGCTCAGTGGGTCAGGGCAAAGCAAGACCAGGGGTACATCCAGCTGGGAAGACAGGACCCTCCCTCAGGGGCTGTAGGGGGAGGCTTCAATGCCATCCTGTGCACAAAGCCTGGGGTGCAAAATCCGCGTGTAACAGCTTGCGAGTCCTCAAGGATGCACGCCAAGCCCACCGTGGGCATTGCTCTGTGGAGGGCTTGGCACTGGGGGCAAGGGGCTGTGTTAGCTACACCTGCAATGTTTGCCTTTTTTGGGAGAATGCATTGATGCATGACTTCTGTTATTACATATTTTGAAAAAGTGATATGTATGGCACATAATAGGTGTGCTGTGGCAAGTGGTGGTTGGAATTGACTTACTTAGATGGGGAAGGCTTTTCTACAGAGGGCATGCCCGAAAGGCCAGATGGGGATGACCAGGGCCAGACTTGCTCTCTGGGGACTGTGGTCAGAGGCCATCGTGCCAGCCCTTTACTTCTACTGGGTGCCAGGGATACAGAGGCAATGGAAGCTAGCCCTGTCCTCAAGAAACTACTGACCCATGGGGGACTGACTGTGTACCCCTCTAATACCAAGCCTGAGCAGCCGATGGGAAGTTTCATAGACTAGCAATAAGCAAAATGCCAAAGAGTCCCTCTCCCCAAGCCCCCTTCCCCCACGACACCCTGCTACTCCATGGGGAAGTTAATGGCTTGTTGGGAGAAGGGTTGGGCTCAGGAAGAAGTGTCTGGGCAGGGCAAGGACAGCTTGTCAGGGACATAGAATCAGAAGGGCACACACTCCAGGTGGGTCAGAGACAGAGGGCTGGGCAGGGGTGCTAACTTGCCCCCCTGAGCCTCCCTGGGTCTCCCGGGGGCTGGTGGATCAGAAAAGCATGGCAGAGATGCCAGACCCCACAATTTATCCCTGTGGCCCTGAAGGAACTCTGCAGAGGGGCCCAACATGAACAGCTCTGGCTCCGGTTCCTCTCAGGAGTTCTCTGAGGCCTTCTTGGTGGGGCAGGGAGTTATGGAAATGGAGCAGGAACTAGCCCCCAGCCTCGCCAGGAGCCAGCCAAGTGTCCACACAACAGGGCAGGGCGGAGGTGCAGCCAGGCCCAGCCAAGGGCTCTGGGCAAGCTCATCTAGCTCAGGAGGTGCTCCTCCAGGGGCCACCACACTGTTTGTTTGCAACTCAACTAAATTGCTCCCAAGGGTAAACCTTGGTTTCACAACATATTTTCAACCAGACTTTTTCTGCAAACATGTCCTCCTCTGCGCAGGCACATGCACACCTGGTCTCACAGGGCAGACCCGGCCCTGCCTGGCTATAGTCTTCTCCTCCTCTGAGCTTCCCTGCATGGCCTGACTAGGGCAGAAGGTAGAGGCAGCCTTGGGAGGACCGTGCAAGGGCTGCCTCATGGCAGCTTTAGCTTCTGGCCCCTCGCTCAGCTCGGCTTGCCTTCCATGGTATGAGTAGGTAGGCCACTCCGTCTCCCAGCTTCCCTGAGTACTCCTCTGCATCTTGGGCCCCGGTCTGTCCTGAGGCTGCAGGGAGGGAAGGGGTGGCCTCTGAGGCGATTCCCAGGACTCCAGGGCCCATGTGGAGGGAACAGGGAATGCTGCTGGTTCTCCCTGGCCCTCTTGGCTCTCCTGGTGAGAAGCACTTATGTCTAGGTGCTGCTGTCTCCCTGTTCTGTAGAGGGGCTTCTTCTGATACCTCATTACCCTCTGTGCTCTGGGACAGAGAGAGAATCTCCCAACTCTTTCTTTAGTAAGTGTCCTTGTCTCTGCTTTCAGCAGGGCCAGGTTCCAGGGGCCACATGCATGGGGTCCCAGAGGGCTGACAGGAGGCCCTACCTCCTTACCTCAGACGTACTGCAGGCTCCAGAGTGCCAGGAGTGGAGGAACCCCCTGATTGCATAGAGCCCCACTGGGGGCCAGAGAGGGGTGAGGCAGGGACAAAGCAAACTCTAGGACTCAAGCTCTCCCTCTCCACCCTCCCTCCCCCACAACACACACACACATTCATTTATTTCATGCCTAGTGACTAACATACTCTCCCACCTTTACCAATGGAGAACCCTTGACAGAGTTGGGCAATTGTGGAAGGTTCACTTAGCCACAAAAGCCAAAAGTTCTGGGTCCCCGGCCCCAGAGTGAGGTGTATTGATCCCTTTGTCCCAGAGAAAAGGGCATCAGGTCTTCTGCCTTGTGCTCAGGCCCCCAAGTGGCAGGCAGCACTCCCAAATTCTCAGGCTCAGTCCCACACCTGTCTGAGGTGTGTCACGGGGCTGTGGCCCCCAGGTATGTGTGTATGCAGGGGCAGTGTATGTGCGGCTCCTGTTCAGCCTCAGGAATGAGTCAGGACCTCACCCCCAGTGAGTCTGTAGGAGGCTAGGACTCAGAAGAACCCAGACCCAGTCCTGTTCCTGTCTTGCTGGACAACCCCAGGGACAAGTTACCCTTCTCTGGAACTCAATTTCCCTTCCAGGAGATTTCCTCTGATTGAGTCCCCACAGCATCTGGCCCAGACATGCTCTGCAGAGCCACTCCCCACAAGCACTCACTGGCACGAGCCCAACAGGAAGGACTTTGCAAAAGCCCCTCAGGAAGCCCTCTGCCTGGGCGGGGCAAATGAGGGAGAGGAGGGGACCAGGGCCCCTGAAGTGATAGCAGAAGCCTAGTCCCAGCCACAGGGCTTTTGTCCAGAGTGGCTGTTCCCTAGTGCACTCCACCCTTACTGCTGCCGCAAAGGAGTCTTTAATGCAAGAACCTTGGCACCAGGTTTTGCTGCTATCATTGAATTTTTATTGAGCACGTTCTCTGTGCAGAGCCCTGCGCATAATGTGGAAGCAGACAAGGGAGGAAGAGAGCCAAACCCCTGTCCACAGAGGATGGAACAGAAGGGATGCTGAGGTCACAGAGGCAAGGCAGCCCCTGACACTGCTGTTACTGTGGGGACCAGATGCTGCTCTCCTCGCCCTCGACAAGGGCGGCAGCTCAGGCCCTTTTGACCTCCTCCACCTTCCCAGCAGCTGGGACCTCCCCATGGAGTGACCTGACCTCCCCAGGCAGGGGGCCTAAACAGTGTTGGAAAATGGCCCTGGGGCTGCTGGGAGATGGGAGGAGGGTGGGCAAGGGTGGCCCAGGGACAGAAGGAAAAAAGGGAAGGCGGGAGGGCTCTGGCGACACTGTAACGGCAGCGAAGCTTCACTGGCGCATCCACAGCCACACGTTGACGGCGCAGGCCGACACCAGCATGGTGAAGAACAGAGCATCCCTGTGGCGCCAGGTGGTGCCCTGGTCCTCCAGGGCACGCAAACGCGCAGTGATCACACTCAGCTGCAGAGGGCCCAAAAGCAGGGCTGTTGAGCAAGGCTCCTGGCATGGAGTCAACAGCAGGGCAGTGGGAGAAAGTGTGAAGCTAAAGCAGGAAGGGGCTTTGCTGTCAGTGGAGGGCCAAAGTGCCCCTGAGGGAGAAGCAGGGGGGGCAGCTGGGCCCACAGGACCAAGGCACGGCTTCCTTGTCCTCTCCCTTGGTGTTCACTCCAGTTCCCTGAAGCCAGCCCATCTCAGCTCTGCTGGGGGAGCCAAGGAAGGAAGGGCTCTTAGATGGTGAGGTGGGCTGGCGTGGGGGCAGCAGCAGAACCAGAGTGAGGGCCCAGGATGGGGTGACACTCAGGAGCCAGAGAGGGCCACCTGGGCAGATGCCCTTCTGTGCCCAGGTCCCCTGGGATCTCTTCCTGAGGAGGCCTGGACTTGATTTGGACAAAGGCAACGCCTCTCTCAGACCTCTTGGTACCACTGTCTTTGGACACACTACTCTTACTCTATGCCTCCTCCTTTTCTCATCTGCTATTCCCTCCCAGCATCTCAGGGATAGCGATATGTTTGAGGTTGAGCATCAAGATGGGACACCCGAGCTATGGGGACCGGGAGGAAGGGAGCCTCTTCACCTCCAGTGCTCCAGCGTAAGATGGCCTCAAACAGGCAGTCTCCTGTGGTCGAGGCCCGCCCACTGCAAGGCACTGTGGTTTTGCCTCCACCCATTTGAGGGGTCCCTGCTCACCTGTCTTCTCATGACTTCCATCTCCAGCCCATTGAGCTCTTCCAGGCCAATTTCTGCCACCATGTCTGCCTCCGGGTTGCTGGGAAAAAAGAAAAGATGGAAGGTCAGACCTATTGGTGGTCCCAGGCAGGGCCTAGTAGAGCACACGGGATGGCTATGAGAGCAAGCAGGTAAGGTCAGGGGCATCTCAGACAGTGACTCTATTAGCCTCCAGTCCTTCCCTTCCATGGAAGAGAGGACTCAGGGCCTAAGGGCTGGAAGCCACCCCACCCAGCCCAGCCACAGAGCACTCAGAGGCCCCGCATGGACAGGAAGTCAGGGCACCCAGGCCCCTTCCTGGTCAATCCACTCACCAGCCCCTCTGTCCAGTTCTGGGCTCTGCCCGAGCAGCCAGGGCCCACCGGGCTCCAGCTCTTACCGCTCATAGTGGAATCTCATGCCTTGGAAGCTGCCAGGATACTCCTGGGAATGGACATCACCATGGCCCTGATCTCTGGACATCCTGGGCATCTGCAGGTGGGGCCCCTAAGAAAGGAGGAGGCAATCAAAGTAGCCTACTCAGTCCGCCCAAGCAGCTTCCCCACAGTGTGCCCAGAACCAATGGCACACCCCTGGGGAGTCACATGGCATCCCATCCTCTGGAATCCAGGGCTGGCAGCCTCAGAGCACTAGGAGATCCTGGAAATCCCACAAACTGGCTGTCTGCCACCACCCCACCTGCACATGTTCCTCAGTAGCTCTTGGCCATCCAGGCTGCAAGGAAGGAACAGCAGTGACAACGGTCCCTGTCCTCTGCAGGAACTTTCACATGCAGACATCAGCTGAGAGGCCAAGCAACCTACTGGAGACTGTGAAACCCCACTTGGCATCCAGGGAAACTGGGGCCTGGTGAGGTGCCTTCACTTCCCTAGGATGCAGGGTCAGTGTCCACCCGAGCTAAGGAGAGGACCCTGGCTACTGGGAAACCATGACCTTCTCTGGGTGAGCCCAACCATCCCTGCGGCTTCCATTTTTATCCATCTGCTAATGACTCCCCAGAGTGTACGTCTCTGGCCCAGAGCTCTTGGGCCAGGGGTGTCTGATGCCTTTGAAAAGCCAGTGTGGAGGAGAGGAACAGAACGTGACTTTTGGTGCCAGACCTGCCTGGTTCTAATCATAGCTGTAGGTTTCCAGTTCAGGATGAAATATTTCACAAGCTGCTTGTTTAACTTACCACATGCCAGGGACCATGCCATCCTCTGAGCCCTTACCAATAGCAAGTCATTGAATCCTCATCATGACCCTGTGAAATAGGTATTGCTATCACCCCGGTTTGAAAGGTGGGGAAATTGTAACACAGAGAGGTTAAGTAACTTGCCCAAGTCACACAGCTGGTAAGTAGCAGAGCAGTAATTTGAATCTAAGACATTTTGCTCCAAAGGTTACACTCAACCATTATGCCAGGATGCCTCTCACATTCAAAACTCCTTCCTCTTAAGACTCCTTAGGTGCCATTGAAGACAGCAAAATCACACAAACCCATAAGAGAGAAGACAACAGGAGAGGCATCAGCAAATGAAAGAACTCAACAAAACTGTGGAATTCTGAAAAGTGGGGCTGGAGGAAGCCAGACAGTGAAGCAGCCTCAGCATGGATGGGGGCAGATGGGGCTCAGCTGACCAGGGAGGCCCCTGTCAGCAGCACCCAGAGAGGACCCAGACCTTGAGGCTGCAGGGACAATTGGGGGTGGGGTCTCAAGAATGGGGCAGAAAACGGGGACATTAACTGAAGATCAGTGCATGAAACAGTCATCTGCCCTTCTCTCTCCACCTGGCTGGCAGCCAGGCACTTTACCCTCAAGCCAAAACCTGAACCAAATGAAAAAGAAATGTGGAGTGGTAGTGACACAAAATAAAACCCTCCTCATTCTGGCATTTTCAGGGTGCCCTGCATGACAGCTGGTTCCTCACCCGTCCTCACTGTTGAAGTATAGCCTCCCTTTGACACACCTGATCAAGACATGCAGAGCTCTGGGCTAGCTCTTCTATTAGCCTCATTCTTAGAAATAAACAGACAACCGAAGCTCACCTGTCACCCGAGAAAGATCTGCAGTTCTCCTCTGTTCCTAAGGAACAACATTAAGCTGAAGGTGGAACAATGTCTGTGTAAAGGATTTTCATAGGAACTCTGCCAGCATGCTCCGCCGGTTGCAATAATGCAAAATTACTCTTTCTCGAAAGGAGCACACAGATACTGGTGCAATTTTTTTGCTGATAATAGTTCACAGTTACAATATTTTCTCTTCTTAAGATACTTAAAAATGGCATTAAAAAGACAGCGTGTCTTAGGGAGACGCCAGGATTATAAAGAAGAATTTGATCAAGAGTTTCTCCTAGTACAATTTTCAGACCATCCTTTGATTCTCCTATAGCTTGGAATCATTACAAAACATTTTTGAGAGATTTGAAGGCAAAATAAGGATGACTGGCTGGTGGCTGGCTTTTGTTTGTTTCTTTCTTTGAAATAACATAGTCTGTTGCTAACACATCAATAAAATAAGAATTAATTTAACAACAACACCTTCAAGTTGGTGATACCTTTTATTGTGATAACCCACAATAAGACTAGTCTAACTGTTTGAAAACAGTAATTTGTCTTGTTGCTTTTTCATTTTTAATTTTAGGAACTCTATTTGGAGTTACATACATTGTAAAACATAATAGTTTTATATGCACGTGATCAAGGTTAGGAAAATCTATGAGCTGCAGTGAGAACCAACTTCCCTCTGTTAATTCTTTCAAAAGCATTATTTTTATTTTCATGTACTTTTTAAAGCACACTATTTTTTTTCCAAGTCAGCAGGATAGTGTCATCAATTTTTCTTGTCTTTTCATATTGTGGTTCTCCCAGTGGCGGTTCCATTAATTATTTTATTCAGAAATAAATATATGAATGAATAAATAGAATTAATAAATTAGATTTAATTCTAGATTTCTAAATTTAATTTCTAAATTCAATATAATATCTATATTTTTAAATAGTCTAGCCCTCTAATCTTCAGAGTTAACTTTAATTAATCCAGAGGTCCTATGCCCCCCTTAGTCTCAGTGGCATGAGTGGCTTCCTGGAGCCAGGCCTCCCAGGGCAGCTTTATTTGGCTTCTGTCTCTGAATACAGGAAGCCAATTCAATATTTCTGACTTATTTTTATTCCCAGGAGTTCTTTAACCTGGAAGCTCTTTTTCTCATTAATCACTGGGGGCAATCATTTCAGTATTTATTGTAATCCATTCCCTAGAACAGTCAAGTCTCCCTCCCTCTCAAACCTTATTGCCTTTTCTCAGTAACTTTTGTAACAGTCTAATCACCATTTTCTCAAAGTTTCCCTCCTCCTCCCAAAGGCTGTCTTTTCCTTCTGCAACAATATGGCCACCATTTTTCTAGAACATTCCCTCACCCACAGTGAATGTAGCTTAAAGAATTGGCTACAGAACTGTGAGTCTTAGGTGATTTCCTAGAGCAGTCAGGTCTCCCTCCCTCTCTAACTTTGTTGCCTTTTCCCACTAAACTTTGCAACAATATAACCACCATTTTTCTAAAACTTTCTCTCATTTGTAATGAAAGTAGCTTAAAGGATTGGCTACAGAATATGAGAGTCACATAATTCCCTGTAACAGTCAGGTCTCTGTTGTCTCCAACCTGGTTGCCTTTTCCCAGAAACCTTTGCAACTGTATTGCAACCATTTTTCTAAAACTTTCCCTCACCCACTGCAAATGTAGCTTAAAGGATTGGCTACAGAACTGTGGGACTCATGTGATTCCCTAGAACAGGCAAATCTCCTTTCTCCTCCAAAATGGCTACCTTTTCCCAGTATTCTTTGCAACAGTATAGCTACCATTTGTTCTAGAACATTCCCTCACCCATACTGAATGTAGCTTGAAGGATTGACTATAAAATGGTCAGATTCACTTGATTGGATTTCCTAACAGCCAGGGAGCATAGGAGCCTTACTCACCTTTATATATATATATATATATATATATATATATATATAATCATATTGAATATTGAAAAAATTGTTTTCTTTTTTCCTGGGATCAGGAATTTTTTAAAAGGATGTAAGCTATCACCATTTCTAGACAATACTTACTGTGCTGGATCTCTCAGCCAGTATAGTAAGCAAGAAAAAGGAAATAAAATGCATAAGTACTGGAAATTAAGACAAAATTAAGTAGACTATAGTTAATAATTTATAACATATTTCAAAATTGCTAAAAGAGAAGATTTGTAATATTTTCAACACAAAGAAATGATGAATTTTGAGGTGATAGATACCCCAATTGCCCAGATTTGATCATTACACATTGTGTGCATGTAACAAAATCTCACATGTGCCACATAGATATGTATAATTATTAT